CAATAATAACACATACTACTGCAAACAGAAGTCTCACTTCATATCACATCAGTAGGAAGTCAGATAAGAAACACTATTACAGAAGGAACTGAAAGAATGTGTGTTTAAACAGGCGATAGCGCTTCTGTTGACCATATTAAAAGACTGATTCTCAATGGGTATTTAACAGGGGGAAGTGGTGGGGAGATAGGCCTGGCAAATCTCATCTGAGTGTGCACCTGGACAAACAGGTGATGTGCATGCATACGTGCGCATACGTACACACACAAGCCTGTAAACTGTGACAATTTGGCCAAGGCCAGATATCTAAATTGGTGTAAAACAGCATGACCTGTTTCTCTCTGTTATCAATCCCGACATTTACTTATCAAAATCTTTAATCTGAAAACTAGCACTGTTAGGTAGCTGAAACCAAAACAGAGTAATCAAACATCCAGATGGCAAGATGAGATAATAGTTTCAGTCAATATGATAACAACTACTGTATCGTTACAGTATTGAGACAGGTGGTTGAAGGCTGAGTTGGGTGTTAGCAAAGCAGGCTCAGCACAATGTGAAATCAAACACCTGTTCCCATCTTATCTTGTGTGCTTGTGTGTCTATTTGTGTGGGCATATCATAATGAGGTCATTATGGCAGCTAATGGGCGGCTAATAGAAGGGTCCGCCCGGTGGCCCACTGGGAGCCGCACCATGGCAAAAGTTCAGACGTCAGTTTAAAGACCAGCCAAGGTCAAAGAGATAAACAGACAGAGATCCTGTCCCCCAGTGGTACAGTATATTCTATTCCTTTATAGTTTGTATTCCTAACAAACCATGACCTATTTGAAAACAACAAAATATTCCTAACTGTGCACTGTATATACACTGGTGCAATGCACGGGTGCCATACATGTGTGTTTTTGGAGATCAATCTAAATAACACACATTTTAAATACTGTAAGTAGAAAAAAAGTGATGTGCTTTGATCTCTTTATTCCTGGAACCGACCTCAGTGTGCCAAACTGCCTTTTAATAACAAAAACAGTGTTTAGTTGAAATCTGGAAGGCAAGATGTGTTGAGGTTTCACTTCCAGGCAGCTGAAGAAAGATGGACTACTCATACACACACACAGATACACACACAGATACACACACACGGCTGGTGGAGCTCAGAAACTTTGAGGCCATAAAGTTTGACATATGGAATGGTGTGTTAATCAAAGACTCCATGCTCCCAGCTGGAGCAGCCTCACTGGGAACACTGTCTGACATGCATACTTGAGAATGTCCTTGTGTGTGTGTGTGTTTCTCATGATAATGCAATCCCCTGTCATCCTTTGTAGTGATGGCGGTATTTGTGTGCCTGGTTATGTGCATGTGTTTGCTTCTTTCTCTTACCAGTACATTCTATATATTTTTTCTCCTAAGCAACTTCAGCCTCCATCAAAACATACTGTTTATACAGTTTATAAGAAGGATTACACATTTTGGGCTATTGTTTATTTAAAAAAAGTGTTATCTGCTTGATTACCTAGTCTCTCAGAAAAGAGTGATGAAGGAGAGCAAAGAGCGGGGGTGTACGTAGCACAAACAGAGGTAGTGCCACATCTCTCTTGCTTTCTTTTTGATTTGACTTTTTCCTGTCTCTCACCCTTACCTGAGCTCAGGTATAACAACACTTTAGCAGAATTTTAAAAAAGATGCAATCTGAATGTTTTTATAATGTAGTTTATAGGGAAAATAAAAACCTTTTCTCCTGCCTCTTTCACCAAATTCCCCTCTATATTCTCTGTTTTCAATCCCCCTCAAGAATGCACTGTGTCTGACACATAAACCCTGACATCTTTACATTCCTCACAATGGAAGCTGAGGAAGCAAACATTCACAAAACAGGACATGATCAAAGCGCAGAGCACTAGCTGGCTCCGTTTTAGTTTAATTTTACTTGTCCTAAGATGACCTCCTGGATCATTTTTCTCTTTCCTGGCCCATTCCTGTAATTATACACACATTCATCTCAGCCCTAACAGGAGACTGATAGGACAGCTTCACTGCTGAAATATTTCCTCTGGAAAGACATGTATACTGTACATGTATACTAAATATATATTTATGGGTGTTTGGGGGAGTAGTTTAATGACTAGAATTATTGCAATCTAATATTATCTAATGACATTTGAGTGTCAGACATGATCCATTTTGACAGATATGTGTCAACCAGGAATCAAAATGAATTCTGTGGTTTCAGCTGTGTACATATGGACACCAAGTCAACACACACGCACGCAGTCAACACTTTAAATCCAGTCTTAAATAACGTGTTGGAATATGGACTGACATGATATACGGACTCAATGTTCTCAATGTTTTGAAAAAAAAACAAAAAAAAAACGTATATCTGTACAACTGACTCCATGGTGGTCCATTGTTCAAGACTGGCAGATATAAATCAAGATCCATATAGAAAACTTCAGATTTTTATTGGCATGCATTTGAGTATGAGAATGGGTTGTGCTCTAAAATTAAACAGCACACAGACGTGCAAAAACACCAGCACAATATATGACTGCTGCAGAAAAAAAAAATGAAAGGGAGAAAGTAGAAGAAAAAGCAGCCTCGTCAACCAGTGCCTTTTAAGAAGTTTAGTAAAAATGTTCTTCTGGATTTCTGGTAAAGATAAGTAACTTAAGAAGATGAGATAGATTATGAACTACAGACAGAGTGAGAGAGGATAAGATAACAAGCGAAAAAAGAGGGCTACAAAGAAAAAAGTGATGAGAGATAAAGGAGAGAGCAGAGGAACAAAGAGGGCTTCATTGTTTTCAATCTTGCTCATTACTGAAGGGGATGATAGCATAATAAAGTGCTAATGGGGGAACAAATCGTGTTGTGTTCAGCTTACATAACTGCAGAGTGACAAATCACACAAGATGTTTCCTTGACACACACACACAGCTATCAGCCCTCTGTTTTTTTTCTATCGTTGTCTCACATACTCATCCCTCAAACAAAAATAGCCATTTTGTGAATGTTTTGTGTCTTTTATTGAAAAAGAAAATACTCAAAAGAATTTGCCAAAGCTAAATGACAGTCAGGAAACTAGTCAGAACTGACCCATCACCCTCGTGACAAGCGCAGGCCCATACCAAGAGCAATGGTCAGCTGTCACTACCTTCTTACCCACTGAGACCACATGTGCAAGAAAGTCTGATAACCCAAATGTCCAGCTGTTTGCAAAACGAGAGAAAAACGAGAAACAGCGAGGGATTGAGAGACGCGGAGAGAGGACAGTGCAGTCAGACTCCATCTGTTAATGTGCGTCAGTCCTTGGCAGTTCTGGCACATCTAAAGAAGGCAATGTACTTCATACTGTGACTTCATCAATGTCAACAACAGAAGGCATCAACAAGCAAAAATTATTACTCTGATACTGAGTTTTTTTTTTCAGATTTCTGATATTGTACAACACTTAGGATGAGCAGAAATCAAAGATACACCTTCTCTGGCAAGTTTTTGTGTCGAACCTTATCAACGAGAGCTTGTTGTGTACTCAACAGCAATTAAGCTATGTGCAAAGGCCTTCTGGTTACTGTGTGCAGTTTTTCCATTAATGCTGGAGGACCACATTGGCCATACATCAATACACTTCTGTCAGTATAGAGCTCCAGGCGCAACAACCGCAACATAACCGCAATGCGACCGAGCCACCAGCCAGCAAGCCAGCCGTCCAGCGTCATCAGCTGGAAGTGAAGAGTGAGGAAGAACACGACTGAGCGAGAGAGACTGTGAGAGTGACAGAGAGAGACGAACAGAGAGTCAGAGGAAGACATAGCCAACTAACTGCCATATCCCTGTAGTCTACCAAATCAGACAAGGTTTTCACGAGCTGAAAACCGTCAGCGCTGCTAGCTGCATGCTCACCCACAAATACCACAACAACGAATTCCTGTGTTCACAGCATTAATGGTTGATGCTAGCTGTGTGTAGCGAGACAGCAAACATGACAGCCAGTCGAGTAAATTCTACATCATGCATGGTTTTGAGGGTTGAAGACGACGCCATTACATAGCTTGGCATGCCAAGAGGTCTTGAGTACATTAAGACCTGACGGTTTATGGTCTACTGCCATATATTTTTGTGGTGTAACTCTAATCTGCTACATCAGCCACCCAAGGACATGGTTTCTCAGACTGTCCGGATCCATCACATGTTGCACTCTGCTCGGGACTGCTTCAGAGGCACTGACATGCAATCAGAGGCCTTAGTGCCGGTGCCAAGGGAGCACGGTAAATTGTCAGCTGACGAAAGACTGGAAAGAGTGTGTTTTGGGTTTGGTCCGTGGGGGCTTTAGCCAACAGGAAAGCTCCGGTGTTTTCCTCTCCATGGGGCATAATGGATTCTCTCCGCCAATGAAACACTATTCCGGCTGGCGGGCGGGACCGGCAGAGCCAGACCCAGCCATCACTGGAGATCTGGGACAGATGGAGGGATGGAGAGAGGGTGGTTGAAGAGAGGAGGAATGTGAAAGAACAATGAATAGGAGCAGATGGTATGAAAAAGGGAGGGATAGAGGGAAATTGGCCTCCCTCTCTCTCCAAGACTACTATGGAGAATCGTTGATTTCTGAGCAATGTATCTAAGCACCACCACCCATATCTTAATGCACAACTGTATACTGACATACACACAGGTTACCATAACAACCAACAACCAAACAAAATATGCTGTATACCCCTCTTCTTCTGTCACATCTGTCCATGTTCACCCCTCCTTCTCGCTCTGCCGGTGTCTCCGCAGACTTGAAATGCTCCGAAAGCAGGCAACACTGGCACACAGTGGCCACAAGGGCAATACACTCAACTGGAACAATGCCCTATTCATGACTTTATCAGCTTACAGACATGCACTCATAGTCCACACACACACACACACACACACACACATTTGGATTGCTGGCATCATCTGTGGACGTTGTGCAAACCTATTTAAGAAGTCAGTGGGTTCAGAAACACTTTTTACCTTCTCTCATTGTCGTCCAGGTGAGCAAACAGCACATTCTTGGAGATGGCCTTGGCCAAGGCAGTCATGGTCTTGTAGTCCTTTGGGATCACCTGTGTCGACAAAGCAGTAATATCCATTACAGTAAAGTAGTTCTGCAATACTATGCAGGTGGACACATGAAACAAACCAGCACAAACACATAATAGGCCTGACTTCAAAAGAAGACTAAATTGAGTAATTAAAGAGCAGCGGTACTGGCAAACTCTGAAAGGAGTATCCCACACGTGTGTCTGTGTATTTTTGGGAAAGCCCATCTGTTCAGGGATTACACTCAAAATGTCACACAGCTCTTAAAAATTCACATGAGGCCTGAACTCATTCATAAAACATGCATTTTCATGTCCCAGACTCTGTGGTGTATGTGTGTGTGTGT